GTGGAGGACAGTAGATATGTGTTTGAAGCCAAGACAATAAAGAAAATGGAGCTTCTTGTGCTCTCTACGCTTCAATGGCGGATGAATCCTGTAACCCCACTTTCGTTTGTGGATTATATCTCGAGGAGGCTCGGATTCAAAGACCATGTCTGCTGGGAAATTCTTCGGCGGTGTGAACGAACCCTTCTCTCTGTCATTTTAGGTAACAAATCCAGAAAAGAAAAAAGATATCCCCATTTTCCTTTTCACTGATGAGTTTGAAAAATACCCAGAAAAGTAACCAAATCCTTATCGTTTATTTGGTGTTTTGACTTGACAGAGTCAGATTTCATGTCCTTTCTTCCTTCTGTAATGGCCACCGCCACAATGCTGCACGTTTTCAAGGCTATGGAGTCCCAGCTTGGCGTCGAATATAATTCCCAGCTGCTAATTAGCATCCTCGGAATCGATAAGGTCCGTCTTTACTCTTCAGTCTTCGCCATTCTCATTTCGACACCAATCGACATGTCGACTAAGTTGTAACCAAAGTTTTGAAAACAGGGGAATGTGGAGGAATGCTGTAAGCTCATCTCAGATACATCCAGAAGAAATTGCAACCAACTTAAGAAGCGTAAATTCGGGTCGGTTCCGGGCAGCCCGAACGGGGTCATGGACGTGTCATTCAGCTCCGATAGCTCCAACGAATCGTGGTCGGTGGCCTCGTCGGTTTCGTCCTCGCCGGAGCCTTTAACGAAGAAAAGCAGAGCAAAGGATCAGTCTCTGGAGTCGGCGAGCCATTCAAATTTCCTCGACATTCCTCGCTAGATCCTCTCGAATTCTCCTTCTTTTTGGTTTTTTTGTTTTTTAATTTCCCCCCGGCAATCCTTGTATGTTGAATAAGGATCTCTATATTATGTTAAATTCTGCAAGTTAAATTGCCTAACCATCTCTGCAGTTTCTGCCCAGTCTTTGCTGCTGGTCAGAATCATTGTCCACTGATTGTAGAGATGGCTGGCATTTTATCCGGATGCGAAGAACATGAATCTATAACAATGAAGAAGAAGAGTACTGCTATTCCATTATCTTGTTTTATTAAACTTCTATTACGTGGGTATGATGAATCTTAGTCTTAGATCTCACAAGATCTAGTTTTTGTTAATGGGGTAGCTGAAAAATGAATCAAATGAAGAAGAATGAGGCATCGTGGGAAGGAAGAGAGTTGCTTTTTGTTCGCATGTGAATAGGGGGAAGATGGAAGAAGATTTTGTCGGCCACTTGGGCATTGAGATTTGGAAGAAATGATTTGTGGGTTTGACCCCAAATCTGAGTATTTTCTCGTTTGAAAAATTGCCTCAATGACTCGGGGACCATTTAAACTTGGGTTGCTTCAATTGCACCTACCATTTGGATAGATTGGTCCCTTGTGTTCTTCTGCTCCCCTGAGAATATTCACTAAATGAAGCCAAGTTAGAATGAAAATGGTTGATTATTGTAACAATTTTGAGAATCTATCTAGAACGAGAAGAGTGATCCATATATTTTATAAACCTTAGATGTTTAAATTTAAGGTGCTGAACGATTATGATTTGAAAATCAAGATATCAAAATTTAAAATGGTGGATGGCGTTGGTGGAGCGACAATTGGAGATGGATTGATATACCTCCAAGAAGGGAAGAATTAATGATGGATAGTGGCATTTATTCACATTTCAGAATTTCCATAACCAACTCCTTTTTTAATTCAATGCTCATCCCAATGTTTTAAATACACATGTTATACATCATCCATCCCTTATTCTTGTGTCCTATATTGGTTGAATTTGAAGGTTCATTTAAACCATTTTAGTTCACGATGTTAAGTTTGTAATTCTTTTATTCGTTTACTTTATCACAAAGATCTTCATCAGTAAATGTTGAAGTTATACATAGTAAGTTAGATGTCAAAACTTAAGATAGTATTTTTAATATAAAATTTATGAACTAAAATAGATCTATTAAAACTCGAGGAAACAAACAAAGTATTTGAAACTTTAAAGACTAAAACGTAATAATATCTAATAACCAAAATAAGAAGTATTATATTAATAAAAAAGAAAAAAAAAATCATTAGTTTAAAAATCCTCTTATCATCAAATTTATCATAATCTTATCTTTTAATACGGTATCAATACTGAATGGCTTAAATTAAAATTCTTTCAATAATGTTATTTTCTCCCTCGTTCATAGAATAGTATACTGATGGAGCCTCATACTAATATCAAAAAACATAAAGTGTTCAAATTTATATTAAAAAAATGCAAAATCACATAAATTCAACCCTTTTTTCCCGACAACAATTTAATTATAATCTCAAAAGCAAATAAATAATATCACCACAATTTATAGATAGGTTCCATAGGGCGAAGATTCATGAATATTTGAACTTTTTACTTTGAATCCTCTCTCTCTAGCTCTAGATTTTAATATTTTTTTAATTATTATTATTATTATTATTTTTTGGGAGTTGATGACAGTACACAAAAAAAACAACCAGAAGAAGGCTTGCATGTGCTTTTGACGCTTTAAATCAAAGGGAATGATGAAGTTGAAGAAGCTTTCACTTTAAACTAACACTGCTCACTCTTTAAAATCTTTTCTAATTTCTCATATTATTATTTTCTATAATTTGTCACCCGCGATCATCGGGACTATATATTATATTAATTTTCTAAATCTTCCCACTCATTATATTTGGTCTGACAACCAAATAATTTCATCCTCATGCATAATATAAAATTTTATTTTCTTATAATGATTTAAACATTTTGAATTTTTCCACTTATGTTTGTCTTATATCAATGGGTGTGCACGAGAAGCTCAATAAATATTAGCATATTTTAGTATATAACATATAATTAAAAAAATTTTGAATTTTTTTGGTCTGTATTTTTAAAAAGATGTGTTTAACGGTATTCATTATTTTCACTATTTGTATTTCTAACCGTTTTTTAGAATGTCAAAAGAAATTTTAATTTCATAATTTTTAATTCACTGACATGTTGAGTATAAATGTATATGTATGTATCCATCTAAATTTTAAATAATTTATATCTATAAAACTTGGCTTTTACTTTGTTATTATTTCTTTTAATTTTGAAAACAGAAACAAAACCACTCCCTATCAAATTGTTTATTTTCAATAAAATTAAAATAAAGAAAAGAATTAACAAATTCATTTACCAAATATTATTTTTATTTCTCTTTCTAGAAGACAAAAGAGAGAGCGAGAGAAACAATAATTGAAAAGGAGAATATTTTAATGGGAATTGAATCGCTTTGAAAATTTTGAAGATTTTTATTTTTATAAAAAAAGTATAGTAATTTGAGGTCAATGCAATAAAAAGAGAACAAAAAAAGTAAGTAAAAGGTGAGAGTGTATGTGACATTAGTGAAACAAAAAAGAGTAGAAAATTGAAAAGAAATGAAGGAAATAAAAAAAAATGGATCCATAAAAGGGGAAAAAGGAGAAAAGAGAGGGGGAAAGTTGGGAGGGGAGAATATAGAAATTAGAAGACAATATGTTATAATTTTGTTAGAGATGTCTTTTTGGTTTTGGTTTAATAATTAGAGTGAGAATTTCAACTCAAAAAGGAAAAAAAAACAAAGGCGAGAAAAAAGAAATGGATGTTTGCTCACCAAAGAGAGCCTACAAAGAAACATATCCATATCGAGAGCTCTTTACTCTTGCACATATTTAATAAAACTCGATCCTAGTTCCATATTTATGATGTAATATTTTAGAAAGCAAGACTCCATTAGACAATCATTTTAGTTTTGAAAATTAAATTTGTAAACACTATTTTCGTTATTTTGTTATCTATTTTTTAGAATTTTTTTAAAAAGAAAAACTATTTTTTGTTTTTGAAATTTAACTTAAAATTCAAATATCTCTAGGCTAAAACATTCAAAAAACATGGTGAGCAAACAAGAAAAGTTTCCAAAAGTAGAAAACTAAAAAAAAAATGGTCATTAAATGGGCCAATGTGTGACAAATTTGTCGTGGAGTTGTATTAGAGCGTACGAATATGAGTATAATTATTATTAAATTATATTGGTTAACTAAGCATAACTCCATTGTTAAGATATTAATAATATTTATTATGAATTAAAAGTAAGAACTCCCACCACCAGAATTGTAATGTTATTTTTAAAAAGAAGAAAATGTACGTTTGATTTTGAGTTATAAGAATCCATCCATTTCGTTTGCTTTGATTTCATGTATGAGTTGTTCCATCATGAGATTTCAAATAAAAGTTTTTAATATTAAAGAGCTTTTAATCATAGTAAAAATTGTTACCAATAAAAGTATAAGATT